CAGTTTGGGGGGGGTGACCAATGATGAAGAACCTACCATTGGGCAGGATTTCTGAGAAGGCTTTGTAAAGGGGACCAGCTCAGTTTAGAGTTGTGTCTCTTTTGCTCTTTGTCCCTTCTCTTTTCTCCCTATCAGAAATGGTTGGGCATGATGGCTGAGGTACTTAGCAGCCACTGGATGGATATGAAAGATGGGACCCTCATCCCTGATGATTGTGGAACTGCCACACCAGCGCTCATCTGCCAACCTCTCTACTTGCTTCATGTGAGAGAAAAATAAACCTTGCAGTAAACTGTATTATTGTTCAAGACATTTGCTGCCCTTCCCCACACGAAGATACACATTTCCACTCTACTGATGTGACGCTTGCCATAGACTTGCTGTGGCCAAAGAAGTAAAAGTGATATGGGCCACTTCTAAATATGCAATTTACCAGGAGCCATTGGGTGATTCTCCCCACTTTCTCTTTTCCCCCTCCCACAAGACCACCAATATTCCAGGTAGGGGAGGCTCCTTCAGCCTGAATCCCCAATTAAGATACAGTAGAGAAGGGCCACAAATGGCCTACAAAGGACATTAGTGTGAGTGAGGAATAAACCTTTGTTGTGGTAAGCCACTGAGATTCTGTGAGTTTGTTACTGTAGCATAACCTAACCACGCTGATTCCTATAGACCCCGTAATTTGGTAAAGCCACTATTATTTCAGGACTTTGTTACTGCCAGACAGATGCAATTCCTACCTGTGAGACACCTCCCTCTGCCATGAGAGATGACTGTCATTTGTTCCTGAAAGGGCCTAAATCACAACTAATGAATGTTTCCTTTGGCACCCAGGCAGGAATTTCGAGTTACTTCCTAGCAGCCACTTCCCTCAGTGTTTCACTTTGTTCCTTCCTAGCGTCCATGCCCTCTCTTGAATCTCCTTTGGAGACTGCTCCTCACCAAACTCTTTGCTAAATGGCTTCTTCAAGAGTGACTCAGGGATGGACCTTGAGGTGGGAATGGGTCAGCCTGTGTGAGGAACAGCCTGGCAGCCATTGGTGGGATTTAAACAACACAGACATAAACAGATTTTTATATGGTCGCCTGGCTGCTATGCAGAGTTCTCACTGTTCTCCTTATTATTATGTGTGAAGCACTTAGAACACTTACCTGGCATACAGTAAGTGCTCTTTAAGCAAGTTATTGTCATCGCTGTAAGGGGAAGCAAGCGTAGAAGTAGGGAGACCAGCAAGCAACTATCACAGCGTCTCATTAAGAAATGATGGGGACTTCCCTGGTGGTCCAACGGGTAAGACTCCGCGCTCCCAATGCAGGGGGCCCGGGTTCGATCCCTGGTCAGGGAACTAGATCCCACATGCATGCCGCAATTAGCAAGTCCACATGCTGCAACTAAGCAGTCCGCGTGCCACAACTAAAGACCCCACATGCCACAACTAAATATCCCGCATACCGCAACTAAGACCCAGCACAGCCAAAAGAAAGAAAGAAATATTAAAAAAAAAAAAAAAAAAGAAAGAAATGATGGCAGCCTGGGCTATGCTGTGACAGCAGAGGTGATAAGAAGTGGTCAGACTAGGAATGTGGTGGGGTTTCTTTCTTTCCTTACTTCCTAATAGTTTAGTGAGGATTCTGCCATTTGCATTTATAACTGTATTGCCAAGGAGTTAGGGCTTTTGTTGTGATTGCTGCAGGATGGGACTGTTTTGGAGGGTAGAGTCAAAGGATGGATTAATGGACTAGATTGGGGGCAGTGCTGAAGAAAAGAAAGGATCAACTTGTGTCCTCAGTTCTTCAATGATTGACCCCGCACCTATCCATGAGTTCTGTCAGGGCAGGAACAAGATCTGTCAGGGTGCTTTGTGTCCAGCAGGAGCTTACTTACTACAGGAGACACTCGGAGTTGCTGACTTAATAAATGATGTCAGAGTGATATATATTAAAAAGCAAGTCTGGACATACTAATTTAGGTTCAAAGACTCCTCTGCCCTCCTCCTACCCTGAACCAGGGTCCCTCAAGGGATAGCTGGGACATGGCATTCTGAGTTTCCTGAGGAGCCCATCTGAAATGCATTCATCGAATTCATCCAACAAATATTTACTGAGACCCACTATGTGCCAGGCACTGTTCTAGGTGGTGGGGACACAACAGGGAATAAGACAGAAAAATATCCCTGCCTTCATGGAGCTGACATTCTAGTGGAGGAGCCAATAAATGAATATATCAAATATGTGGTATGCCAGAAAGTGGTAAATGTTAAAGGGAAAAATAAAGCAGGAGGCGAATAGGGAGAATATGTATGTACTGGGAGAGGGTTATCATTTTACAGAATGGTGGTCATAAAGGGAAGATCTTTCCAGGCAGAGGGAACAGCACAGGCTGTTCAGAACAGGGAAAGGCCCTGGGGCAACAATGTGCCTGGCATGCTAGAGGAACATCGAATAAGCCAGTGACACTGGAGCGGAGTTAAGTAAGGGTCAGGAGGGAGGAGATGAGGTCAGACAGAGAGTGGGGATCCAGCTCCTGTAGGGCTTTGTAGGCCTGTTCTCTGCCTGCTCCAGCCTCACCTTCTTGTCTTTACAGAGTCAGGTGGGAGCTGGGGAGGGGATCTGAGCCCTGAACAGACTGTGGGAGCAGGTTGACAAATGGAGAGGCTACTAAAATAGAGTGCAGTCATGCAGTCGGGAGGTGACAGTGGCCAACACCAGGGTGGGGGCAAGGAAGGGGGTTAGAAGTGGTAAATCCTTGATAGACTTTAAAGGGAGAGCCAACAGGATTTGCTAATGGACTGGATGAGGAATGTGTCCTGGCCCACTTAGACTAAGACAACCAGGGACAAACATGTAGTCTAGGGAAGTCAGGTTTACTTACCACGGCAATAAGGGAACTGTATACCAGAGATACTGTGGGGAGTTTCATCAAACAGAGGAAAATAATTATTATTTGGGTTTGGTGAATAGGTGAAACTTAGGTGAAATGTAAGTGAAACAGTGTTTGGATAGGCTCAAAGCAAAGCAGAACTGTGTGAAAAGGGATCAATATCAGACCTGGATTACAAAGTGGACCCAGGGTCCGTCTCCTTGGAAGCAATAAAGTTTGGATAGATGTGGAATACTGTGTCCAGAAATCCCTTACCTGAAGCTCTGCACCTGGACTGTAAATCAAGGTTGCTTCTCTGTGTCAAAGTGACTCAACTTCTCCAAACCTTAAGTAAGATGTTTCATTCTTACTGATGTAATTTCAAACAGCAGTTTGTGATGGCCTACGATTTTAGAGAACAAAGCTTCCTAGTAAGAAAGCAGCAGTCACTCAAAAGAAGGGGAGTTTTGGGCTTCCCTTGTGGCGAAGTGGTTGAGAGTCCGCCTGCCGATGCAGGGGACTCGGGTTCGTGCCCCGGTCCAGGAGGATCCCACATGCTGCGGAGCGGCTAGGCCCGTGGGCCATGGCTGCTGAGCCTGCGCGTCCGGAGCCTGTGCTCCGCAACGGGAGAGGCCACAACAGTGAGAGGCCCGCGTAACACAGGAAAAAAAAAAAAAAGAAGGGGAGTTTTGTCACTTTACATCTGCAGCACGTCCCTGAGAAAAATATAGAAAATTTTTTTCCTATTAACTCTTCAGCTAGCTTTTCCCGTGTCTGTCATTCCAGCCAAATAAATAAGAGAGCAGGTTTTTTGTTGTTATTGGGGTTTTTTTGTTTTACAGTTCAAGCTAGTTTTTACTTTCTCAAGTGTGAGAAAAGAGGAGAAGTAAAGATGACTCTAAGAGTTTCTAGCCTGAAAGACGGTAAGGATGGAAAGCTATTAACTAGGATAATAAAGGATATGGGAGGTTTTAGGAGAGACAAAATCAGGAGCTTGGTTTCGGATGTTTTGAGTTTGAGATGCCTCAAATCCGTGGGGATGGCGAGTGGGCAACTGTAGGCTCTTTCTGAGCCTGGACCAACCTCACTTCTGTCTACACGGCCCTCCCATTCCTCCGCTCGCCCCGTTCACTACCTGCAGTTAATCGTCTACCCCTGCTGTTTCACACATCTGCACCTTTACATGTGCTGTGTTTACTGTTAGTGAAACACTGGGAATACGGTCTCTTCAACCTGCTAACCCTGCTTCCAGACACCCGCAAGATGGACTAGGTCCCCCGCACGGCTGCATTTACCCTCGGGCCCGCCCCCACAGGGCCCCGCCTCCCTGCAAGCCCCGCCCCTCGCTGGTGCTCACTTGTAGAAGCTCACCGGGCGGTTGTCCGCGCCCAGTTGGCCCGCATTGTTGGAGCAGTTCGGAGCCCGGCAGTACTTGGGCATGGCTGTCCAACCCAACTGGGTTTTGCCCGGTCTGAAGACGCACTTTGGTCCTCGCCGGGCGCCGCCGAGCCCCGCCCCGCCCGCGCGCTTGCAGCGTGCCTGACGTAAGGGGCCTCGTCACGTGCCTGCGTACTGCGCGCCAGGCCGTGTTACCACAGCTACGCCCTCATCACGTGGCAAATGGAGAAAAGCGAGAATGTCTGCGCAAAGCCGGCGCTTAGCCACCTGGACCTCATCACATGATGGGGGAGAATTGGCGTCAAGGCGTTTCTGAGTCTGCGCCAACTCTTCAGTCTTTCTCGGCTCCACCCTATGCTTACATCCGGGCGACTGCCACTGCGCAGATAGTCGCCCTTGGGTGGGGCTGGGGGGCAGCAAAAAGCGAGGCGAGGAGGCTTTGGCATTAGCTTCGTAAAAGTTAAAACCTGATATTTAGTGAATGATGAAAACACAGACGGGATTAAAAAAAAACTCCACAACGCTCGATCAAGCATCAAGCTGAGGAGCCGTGGCTCCACCCTGCCAGACCCTCCGCTCCGACTCTTAGCTCTCATTGGTCAAAAGCGCCGCCTGGCAACCCTGAGATTGGCCAGACCGGCAGCCGGCCGCGTCCAATGGGCGGCGGCGCCGGCTTTCCCGCGGCCGTTCGCTGTTCGGTGGCGGTTGAGGAGTGTAACGGTTGCCGGGCTCCGGAGCGACGATGGCGGCCTTGGGGCCCGGAGGCTACGCGCGGAACGATGCAGTCGAGAAGTTGCCATCCATCATGGCGGGAGTTCCGGCGCGGAGGGCCCAGTCCTCCCCGCCCCCCGTTCCACCGCTCTGCCTCCGGCGGCGGACGAGACTCTCGGCGGCGCCCGAGGACACGGTGCAGAACCGGGTGAGGAGCTGCTTGCCTTGCCCATCTCAGTTCTAGGTTCCCCTGGGTCTCCCTTGGTCCCGCCCTTAGATCTTTGGCCCCGCCTCTCAGCCCCCGGTTGATACCCCCTCTAGTTGCTCTCTGACCCGACTAGTCCTCTAAACCCCGCCTCCTTAGCCAAGGCTCATCCCACTGCCCTGTCTCCTCCTCTTTCGGGTAGTGCCAGTCGTTTCTACTCCCACTTCTCAAACCGTGGCCCCACCCTTAGCCCTTGGAGCGTTGCCGGGGTTCCTCCCTGGCCTTGTACCTTGGAGCGCATTTTAGTTTTGCTAATCACCTCCTAGTTCTGTTTATCCCTTTAGTTACCTTTAGACGTATCTCTGGGCCCTTCCACATTTGTTGACCTCACCCCCCTCTTCGTCTTTAGGGTCCCTACCAGGGTTCAGTCCCGAGTCCTACTTGTTCTAACTCTTCCTCAGCTCTAGCCTGCCTTCCTTCATCCGCTGCCTTCTCTTTCCTTCTCCTTTACCAAGGTGGTATTCTTAGTCCATGTTGCCACCCTAAATTATGGACAGGATGTGAGTAATATTTGTAAAATCTCAGCAGCACTGCCGGAGGTAGGGAGACGGTGTGTAGAACAGTTCCTTAAATCCTGAGACACAGAAACAAAGATTTTAGAGTAGGTAGAAGAAATTCCAGTAGCACAGCAGCAATTTAAAAAATCGTTTTCCAACTCCCTGAGCTGCAAAGTCTGTTTTTATCAAATGGAGATAACGATAACCATGGTGTTGCAGGGAGATGCGACAAGATTGTGAATGTGACCTACTTGGCACAAAGTCCAGGTAGAGGGTCAGTACTTGGTAGCTGCTGTGGATCTTGTTCCTCCTCCGTGGCTTTTGCTACACTCTGATTATATCACCCACTCCTGGGTGCAAGGCGCTAGGCAAGTGGCCTCTGCCCACTTCTCTCGCCATACTTCCCTTGGCCTCCCTCTCATGAAGGTTCAGTCACACTGGCCTGCTTTCTGTTTTCCTGAGGCTCCAATCTCTTTTCCGCCTCTTAGCCTTTGTGTTTGGTGAGTCCTCTCTCTGGGCTTTTTGCTGCAGTCTACCTGGCTGGCTCCTATCCCTCGAGTCTCAGCCTGAATATCCCTACCCTGAAAGGCCTTCTTGAACCCCAGCCTAAAGCAGACACCCACTTAAGTGTCTCACCCAGAGCCCTGTACTTCATAGCCCTTATCTTGTATGTTCCTGAAAGTGCCTGTGGGCTCTAAAGTGTATAAAGGAGAGGAATAACAATAGTAATTTCAGAGATGCAGTATAACAAGGTGGTTAAGAGCACCGCCTCTGAACCCAGACTGCCTGGGCTTTAACCTTAGTTCTGTTCTTCCTTTCCTGATCTTTTCTGTGCCTCAGTTTCCTCGTCTGTAAAATGAGGATAATAATATAAGTGTTCCCTTATAGGGTACTGGTGAAGATTAAGTAAGGTCACATATCTTAAGTAAGCTCACATATCTTAAGTACTTAGAACAACCGCTGGCACACTGTAAGTACTCTCGGTGTTAGTTACTGCTGTGATTGTGTATTCAATATTTTGGGTGATTGATGTCATTTATTTTTCTTGTTTGGTGGTGTAGGGTCCATCCAGCTTGCGAAAGACGTAGTCTGAAAATTACCAGCTATGCTAATGCCCAGTAATGCTGATTAACAGATTAAAAAAACGTGACTGCCATTGCCTGGTTGCCTGGGTTAGTCCTGGCACTGCTCCTTCCAGATGGATTACCCTCATGGGCCTCTGTTTCCTCATCTGTAAGGTGGAGATGATGATGATGATAGTGACCACATCACAGGGTTGTTGTGAGCATTAAATAAGTTAATACAGTTATAGTTATTTAAACAGTGCCTGTCTCCTGGTTAGATGCTCAATAAATATTACTTATTACTATCTTCTATTTGCCTTTTCATTTCTGAGGCCCACCACCTTGCTTGAGAATGTTTTACTTTATAATAATTAGAAACTAGTCTCTTCAGAATATGAAAATACCACAGTTTGTTAGTTCATACTCTAAATTGTTTAATCAGCCATGATGGGGACTGGCTCATTTGACTCATCTTGCTTAGAGAATTTAAAAATTTTAAATGCGATTGTTCAAGTTCACTTGTTTCTTTACTCGTTGAACCTCTAGACTGTGAATTTATTGAGGGAACGGACAGTGTCCACTTTTGTTCACTTCTGTAAGCAAAGTGCTGCACAAAGTGCTGGCTTTGAAGCCAGAGACTACCTGGGTTTGTATCCCAGCCTTGCCACTCCACCGGGGTGGGACCTTGGGCCTCTGTCCTCATCTGTAAAATAGTGGTGATAATAGCACCTTCTTCACAGTGTTGTGGGCTGTCAAGTCTTTCATCCATATAAAATACTTAGAGTCTTATGCACCTTCTCAGTGAGGCCTTCTCCCCTTCCTCTGTACTCTCAATCTCCTTCCTTGCTTAATTTTTCTCTAATGCTCCCATCGTCACCTGACATCTATTTTACATATTTGTTCTGTTCATTTTCTATGTCCACCATCCCATCACCCCCAGAATGTGAGCTCCTCCTGGATTTTTTTTGTCTATCTTCCTCACCATTCTGTGCCCTTCACCTAGCACTGTATTTATCAAAGCAGCATTTGAGGAGGACAAGCTTTAGTTTCTGCTAGATGACTCTAGACGCTCAGTGAATGTGTTGGAGTGACAGGGATTGAATGGGTGGCTGAGGTGACTGTGCCACGTGGGGCCTGCTGGGGCAGCTGCTTCTAATTTGGGCCTTTTCCCTGCAGGTATCACTTGAGAAGGTGCTTGGCATCACAGCCCAGAACAGCAATGGCCTAACCTGTGACCCCAGCACAGGCCATGTGGCCTACCTGGCAGGGTGAGTGAGTGGGTGGGCCTCGGCCTCTGATCACTGATCCTGAGTTCAGAGCCTGAAGTCTTCAGTGAATCTCTCTGGGCCTCGCCTTTTCCGTCTGTAGAATGCACATAATGCTGCCTACCTCTGAGGGCTGTGGGAAGGATTCCATGGGCCCTTCTGTGTATAGAACAGTACCTGGCATGCGTGAGTGCTAAGAAAGCCTTATTGTGACTGCAGGCGGGAGGTGGCAGTGATTCTGGGAAAGGTAGGTGGTTAAGATCCAAGCCATGGTTGGTGTCAGGCCATCTGGATTTGTGTCCCAGCTCCACTGTGTGTGCCCTTCTCCAAGCCTCTGCTTCTGTAAAACAGAACTAGTGATACCCTCCTCTTGGGTAGTTAGTTGAGAGGACTGAAGGACATTTGCAACTGTTTATTCCACAAATACTGGTCTAACCTGGCACTCTTCTAGGCACCAAAGGGACCCCTCACCCCCACAGGGCAGGGCAGAGCAGGGCCATAGTAATTCCTGATGAACAGTATCTGTTACTGAGTCTCTGGGAAGCAGCCAGAATAGAGGACAGGGTTGGGCTCTTGAATCTGACAGGTGTGGATTCACTTACCCACTCTGTCCCCGACCTGCTGGGGAGTCTTGGGTAAAGGACTTCCCTCTCTGTAAAGGGCTTCAGTTTCATCATCTATGAAAAGCGACAAAGATTCCTGACCTCATCTGGCGGTTGTGAGGATTTAAAGAGATTGTGCACAGTATGTCTTTATTAGCCCAGAACCTAACAGTTACCACAGAGGAAGTGTTGGCTTCTATTTAAGATTATATTGATATTAATAATAACGTTGGGACTTCCCTGGTGGCGCAGTGGTTAAGAATCCGCCTGCAAATGCAGGGGACACGGATTCAATCCCTGGTCTGGGAAGATCCCACATGCCGTGGAGCAACTAGGCCCATGTGCCACAACTACTGAGCCTGTGCTCTAGAGCGCATGAGCCACAACTACTGAGCCTGCGTGCCACAACTACTGAAGCCCGTGCGCCTAGAGCGCACACTCCGCAGCAAGAGAAGCCACTGCAATGAGAAGCCCACGCACCACAATGAAGAGTAGCCCCCGCTCACTGCAACTAGAGAAAGCCTGCATGCAGCAATGAAGACCCAACACAGCCATAAATAAATAAATAAATGTTTAAAATAATAACAATAATAATAATGTTAAGTGCCCAGAATCCTCAGCATAGATAATGGGGGAGGAGGAGACTGAAGAGAGAAGCATCTGTTCAGAAAGAGCCTTGTTTATATGTGGGCTCTTGTGTTGGGAAGAGAATCATCCCTGGACCCTAATACTCCCCTTAGTTTGGGCACATTTTTCTCTTTCTCCCCAGCTGTGTGGTGGTGGTTTTGAACCCCAAGGAGAACAAGCAGCAGCACATTTTTAATACAGCCAGGTAAGCTGGGACCTGGGCATGGGGTAGAGGTGGGACCAGGGTCCTGGCACATCCCTCCTTCCCCACACTGCCTGGAAGTGCTTGTGGGTGCGTGACTCATTCATTCACCTGGTGGTTCAGTGACATTCACCAAGGGTCTGCTCAGTGCTTGGTACTGTTCCAGGTGCTGGGGACATGGAAGTTAACAAAAGAGATGAGAATCTGCTCTCATAGAGCTGATAGCTTGGGTGGTGGGGGGAGGGACAGACTAAACTAGTTGACAGTTCCTAGCCGACCATGAGACCATGACTGTTGCTATGGAGGAAATGACGGAGATGTGTTAGGGCTGGTTCACAGGCAAAGGACTCTCGTCAGAGTCTTATCAGAGCCTCCCTGAGGCTGAGAGCTGAAGCAAGTGAGGGGGTGACCCATGTGAAGGTGTGGGGAGAGCATTCCAGGCAGAGGGGACAGCAAGAGCAAAGGACCTGCAGTGGTTAAGAATCTCAGGACGTTTGAGGAGCAGTCAGTGTTCCATGGGTGAGGGGGAGGTGGGGCTGGAACCAGCAGAAGCCACATCACAGGGGCCTTGGGAGGGGTTGGCTCTCATGCTGATTGCAAAGAAAAGCCACTAGAGGGCATTTGCAGGCTAAGGATATACTTCACGCACCCCAGCCCTCCAGTACACTCTATCTCCCTTCCTTGCTTTACTTTTTTCCACAAAATGCACTCCTTTTTGATACGCTGTCTAATTTCCTCAGCGATGATATTTACTGTCTCTTTTCACAGTGTGAGCTCTCTGACGCCGGGGAGTTTCTCTTAGTTAATTTCTGTGTCCCTATACCTTGGGTCAGTGTCTAGCACATTGATAACACTTATCGTTTCCTGAATGAATGAGTGTGATTTGGGTTTTAGAAAGATCCCTCCAGCTGCCAGTTTATTGAGGAAGGCCCTTGGCTTTGAGCAGGCCCAAGATGATGCCCGGGTCTGCCTTGGGGCTGATTGAACACTGTGTCATCCTGGGGCTTTGGTTCCAACCGGGTTGTGACCTTTGGGAGGCACCTCACTGCAACATTTTATTCCACAAATACTGCACAAATAGCTCAAGCTTAGCTCCTTTGGCTGGGCTCTCCAGGTGGACGGATAAGTTGTGGGCTTTCTTCTTCCCTTACGATCCCTAAGGCAAGATCCCTAAGATACGGTTTGGTAGATACAGATTCCCTCTCAGAAGGGGCTTCTTGGACTCTTGACTCTGACTGTGGGTTCTGTCACTGGTGGTGAGGGCAGAAATGGGTTCCAATCCAGACTTAAGTGTTTATTCACTGTGTGATCTCAGGTGAGATACTTCTTGTCAATAATCACAAACTAGGGGCCCACAGACTTGTCTGACAGTATGTTTTAAATATCGGACTTACTTGACAACGTTTAAAGTTTTCTACACAAAAATTCAGATGCCCTCTCGTTTTAGAAATGTGAGAGATTCAGATCTCTGGGGCCCACATTCTCCTATGGCAGGGATGGGCTGGAGCTTGGTGGCATTTGTCAGAATGCCCCTTGCCCAATTCTTCTCATCCTCCCTGTTGCCTCCCTGAGTCCTGTAGGAGGTAGAGTAGGTAACCTTGATCCAAAGCAGATAGCATAGAAGTATCCACTCTCAGTCACAGATGGGTCTGTCTTAGAAGGCAGTGTGGCCAGAGTGGAGGTGTTCATTGTGGCTGCATTTCAGAGTCACCTGATCCCAGGCTTCACCCCCAGAGAAGGCTGAATAAGTTAGTCTGGAGTAAGACCTAAGCACTGCCAATTTTTAAACTTTTTATATTGAAATAATTTCAGACCTACAAGAATAGTACAAAGAGCACCTGTACACCTTTCACCCATATTTCCCAAATGCTAACATTTTACCACATTTGCTTTATCATTCTCTGTCTATGGGAATTCTCTGGCAGTCCAGTGGTTAGGACTCCGTCCTTTCACTGCCGAGGGCCCAGGTTCAATCCCTGGTTGGGGAACTAAAATCTTGCAAGCTGCACTGTGCAGACCCCCCCGAAAAAAAAGTATCATTCTCTGATTCTCTGTCTATATACATAGTAATTTTTTTCTGAACCATCTGAAAGTAAGTTGCATACCTGATACCCCTGTACCTCTAAACTTAAGTGTGAATTTACTGCCAAAAAAAAGTATGACCTTTCAAAACCACAAAGATTGAGCAAAGTCAGGAAATTAAAATTGGTACATCACTACCATCTGCTCCTCATTCAGCCTTCACCATTTGTCCCAAGAATGTCCTTTACAGCAAAAAGGATTCTGTCCAGAATCACGCATTGCCTTCAGTTGTCTCTTCAGTCTCCTTCAATCTAAAGAGGTTTCCTCCATCTTTTCTTGACTTTCATGACCTTGACACCTTTGAGGATTGCAGGCCAGGTGTGTAGAATGTCCCAGCGTTTGGGTTTGTGTGCTGTTTCCTCATAGATAGAGTTAGGTTCTGCAGGACCACCTCCGAAGGAATGCTGCATTCTGCTCAGTGCATTCTGTCAGGAGGTGCGTGATGTCGTTCTCTCCTGTGGCTCGTGGTGATCACCTTGAGCCCTTGGTTAAGGTGGTGTCTGCCTGGCTTCTCCACTGGGAAGCCTCCCTTTTCCCCTTTGTGATTAGTGAGTATCTTGAGGGGAGCTTCTCTGAAACTATGCAGATACTACCCTGTTCCTTACCAAACTTTTACTAGTTTTAGCATGGCTTTGATATTTTTCAAAAGCTCCCTGGGTAATTCTCATGTGCCCTGTCTGGTTAGGTAACCTTGGCACGACTTCCTTGTGTTGAGGTCTCCTCATCTCAAAACTGGCTAGGAAAGGTCTTGACTGCACAGAGTGTGCGTGAGGAATCAGAGTAGCCGGGGCCCATTTGGCAGAGAGCCAGGCGCCGGCTCAGGGGTGCAGTAGGCTAGGGGCAGCTGCAGACGGCAGACCCACCCTCTTCCCCACCCCCAACAGGCATGGCTTAAAAGGCAAGGGCGTGCTCTTCCTGCACAGACAAAACCAGGAAGTAGGCGCTTAGGGGGCTGGTGTCTCTGCCAGCATCAGGGGCCCCACTCCTTCTGTCTTTCTGTTCACCATGCTTATTGGGAGGCTTAAGATCACCTCCTGGCCCAAGGTGAAATTCTGGTTGTCATGTGGGAGCAAGTGGGGAGCAGGGCAGAGTTCCCTTTGAGAAGCTTTTCTGGAAGTCCCACACAACACTTCAGCTTACCTCTCATTGGCCAGACTGCATCATGTAGCTGTGCCTGTGTGGCTGCAGGAGAGGGGAGGAGATGTACTCCAGCTGGGGCCATTGCCATCCCCATGAAAACTGGGCTTCCCTTCGTGAGGAAAGAGAGGCGAGTGGATATCGGATGGGCAGCACACCTTGGCTGCTACCTTAAGGAGCAGTGGAAGCTGCAGAGGGTTGAGTTGATGAAGATAAATGTTCTATGAAATTTTCAGTGACTCACTTAGGGGCCTCGACTTTGTTATCTGCACAGCAGTCTACTCATTCGAGGTGGACAATTACTAGACTGCTAAGGAACAGAGGTAAAAGCAGGATTAAAAGAGAGGAGAGAAAAAACAACACAGTCTGGGAACAGTGAAACTTGCTGCCACAAAACATGCAAACTAGACTGATCATTCAGGGCTCTTGCAGGCTAGCTGGGAGTGTCGAAGAGAAATGTGTTGGTTGTTTACGGGTTTTCCAGGACACCTTCAGCGTTCAGCAGTGGAGCACAGGCTGCAGGCTGTCTCAGTGTGATGTCTGCCAGGATCCTCCATCAGTACCACCTGCATAGTTAGGCCAGATCTGTACCATTTCCTGCATCTGAATTTCTCGGGGTTACAGGGTACATGGGGTCTTAGGGAGCCCACCCTGTCAGAGGGAGAGGGAAGGAGGGTTTCCATACAGCATCCACGCCGTCAGGGTTTGGGGTTTTGGGGAGGAAGGGGCCTTTGCTTTTACAAAACCCCATTTCCCTGTGCCGCTGCCCCCGCTTCTTCCAGCAGGAAGGAGCGCACTGGGTGCTATGCTGGGCAAGGACGTAGCACTGGCTCTCTGGGAGCTGCAGGCACTCACCTCTCCCGGCCTCTTGGGAGTGAGGAGTGGGCCAAGTGCTGTGAGCACAGCCAGGCTGGAGTCTGGCTGCCCACCCTCAGTGGAATCAGTAATCAACCCCTTTCCTTGCCCCCAGGAAGTCTCTGAGTGCCCTGGCCTTCTCCCCTGATGGAAAGTACATAGTGACGGGGGAGGTGAGTCGTGATCATGACTGAGTGGGTGGGGAGGGGCCTTGGGGCCATTCCTTCTACCCCGAGGAGGCCTGAGGAATCCCTGGAATAGATCCTTCCTGGGCTAGAAAAGCCCCGTGACAGATGGGGGAGGTGGCTTTCGGGCGCACCCTGGGGCAATGCCAACTTCAGCCCCTCAAGCCCCACCTGGGTGCAGAACCCGCCAGCAGTAAATGGCCCCATCTTCCCCAGAACGGGCACAGGCCTGCCGTGCGCATCTGGGACGTGGAAGAGAAGAGTCAGGTGGCGGAGATGCTGGGCCACAAGTACGGTGTGGCCTGTGTGGCCTTCTCCCCCAGTATGAAGCACATTGTGTCCATGGGCTACCAGCACGACATGGTACTCAACGTCTGGGACTGGAAGGTAAGAGCTGACTGGTAGGTGTGTGACAGGCAGCCAGCTGCCAGAACACCCTGAGTCTTGGGCATTGGCAGAACTAAATAAGGTAACTTGGTAAAGTGTTTAACCAGCAAATATTTATTGAGCATCTACTACATGCCAATGCCGGTTCTAGGTACCTGTTGCAGGGCATGTGACAAGTTGTCAACCCAGGGAACATATAATTCTTTTTATACTGACCAGCTGTGACCTTGAGCAAGGGACCCAACCTCTCTGTGAGTCTGTTTCCTCATCTGTAAAATGGGAATAATAGTATCTGCTTTGTTGAGTTGTGAGAATTCAGTGAGTTGATATGTGCTGGAAGGCTGGACTTTGGAACAGCTTGGGGAGGACTTGGAGTCGGGAGAAGTGGGTATCAAGTCCTGCCTCTGTTCATGACCTGCTGTGTGACCTTGAGCATGTGACAGCCCCCTCTGAGCATGACAGGGTGGTGGGGAGATGCACCTCCCTTGTAGGACTGCTGAGGGGATTCCACGAGTTATCCTGTGAAGGGCTCAGCAGGGCCCAGCGTAAGAGCCCAATATCCGGCAGCGTGGGTCGTGTTGTCCTTACTTTCCAGCTGTGGCTGTCCTCAACACCATGTGTGGGCTGCAGGGCTTGGACTCTTGAGGAGAGCTCTGGAACTTACTCTCACGTGGGAACCTTTCCAGGCCTCAGTCTCCTCTGTGTTGGGAATGATAAGAGTGTCACGCGTAGGTTTCCGCAAAAAGGAGGGCCCAAGAAAAACAGACTTGGAGCAGGGGAGGGTGGAGAGACGCAGGGCTGAGGGCAAAGGCTCAAAGAGTCTGATGGGATGGGTGCTGGCGTGAACTTCTCTGTACCGATTCTTCCAGAAAGACATCGTGGTGGCCTCCAACAAAGTATCATGCAGGGTCATTGCCCTCTCCTTCTCAGAGGATAGCAGTTATTTTGTCACTGTTGGGAACCGGCATGTGAGGTTCTGGTTCTTGGAAGTCTCCACTGAAGCAAAGGTGAGTTGCTGTCCCTGCCACCTCATCCGGGCCCAGGGGAGGAACTGTCAGGGGCAGTAGGGACTCCTGGTTCTACCTGAGATTCAGGGGCAGTGGTCTCAGAGGCTGTCTAGCCTCTCAGGGGTCTGCCTTCTGCTTCTGGGCCTGTTCTCCAGGTGTTGACTGACTGCTAGGCCCTGCTGGGTAACCTCCCCTGCTGGACCCTGGGGCCAGACTTCATCCCTGGCCTGCTGCCTCCAGCCACTGTGCCTGGAAGTGTGTGTTCTCTTTGTTCTTCCCTTCTGCATTCGGAGGAGTTTCTGAGAGTTCTCCTGTTTAGCTGTGTCGTATCCACTGGTCATGAGAGGCCCGCCGTGACCTTGCTGGGGACTAGGCCATGTGGACAGTGTCTCACTGTGCCCTGCTCTGCCTCCAGGTGACGAGCACAGTGCCCCTCGTGGGGCGCTCAGGCATCCTGGGTGAGCTGCACAACAACGTCTTCTGTGGTGTGGCTTGTGGCCGGGGCCAGATGACAGGCAGTACCTTCTGTGTGTCCTACTCGGGCCTCCTCTGCCAGTTCAACGAGAAGAGGGTGCTGGAGAAGTGGATCAACCTAAAGGTACCCCAGCCTCCCACTCTGCTGTCAGTGGGGGAAACACTCCCCATGACATGTGTCTACAGGGACACTCAGCAGTGCCCCTGCGTGACAGTTGGTCACAACAGCTCTGGGTCTGACTTCCTGTTCTGCTTGTACAACTCTGGGAGAGTGACTTTCCCTCTCTGAGCCTCAGTTTTCTTATCTGTAAAATGGAACTACTGCTGCCTACCTCACAGAGTTGACAGGGGAGTCATGCGAGATAATATATGTAAGGCACTTAGCACAGTGCCTGTTCCCCTATAATGGGGGTCAGGGTTACAATTGCTTTCCCATCACCATTTGACCCAGTTCACGTTTCTTTTCTTCACTGGGCACTCTTGGCTGGTGGGAGGACCACTTTTTTTTTTTCTTTTTTAATCCAAGGTGTCATTGACATAATAATTTTTCTATTACTTTTATTGTTAAAGACTATATAGAATACATAAAATTTTAAACTAAAAGGTGATATATCAATAAATTACAGAACCACTTTTCTTCAGGATCTGAGGGTTTGAATCCAAGCTGTCTTCCTATCCTGGGCTTGGATGCCTGTTTGGCTGTTAGCAGGAGCATCACAGTTGTCCTCCTTGTCCTATTCCTGCTCTTATGACTCCCCTCTGGAGCTCAGCTTTAGGGTTAATGGCATGGCAAGAGGTGTGTGGAAGAATTCTGAGCTTTATCTGTCTTTGCTAGTTGGTTAAACATCATTTATTTCTCTCATTTGAATCCTCTTGCTAGAATTCATGCAGCTTTTAAGCAAGTCAGGAGCTTTGGATAGATAGATGTTTAGCCCCTGAGCAGGTGTCTTAAATGACCCATAAACTTAGTCCCTCTATGTTTGGAAAAACTCCTCTAAGCTCTATCCAGAGGTCTGGCAGTTCCTGCCCCTTCTATCTGCATGCCCTGGCAGAAGAGACGGTCCTTCCTATATATAATAACTTTTTTCTATGCTGCTTTAAAGTATAATCTCTATGAAGGTATTTTTAAGCAATAAGGAATAAAGCCTAAAATTTAATTTAAGCCTAAAATTCAACGCTGCTACTGCAAGCAACCTATCTGAAGTCACAATCGGCTGAGATATTTTCCACACACAGCTGAGTTCCTCTATAACAATGATAACTCTGTCCCATTTTGTGCCTCTGTCTGCCTGCTGCCCCTTTTCCTTCAATAGTGACTGAGCACTATATCCTGATTTCAAAAATCTTAACATTTGCAAAAATGGGTTTCTTAGACCCCAAAGCTGTAAGGCTTTTCTGGAGGCCCAAGGCTGTTCTGTCAGCCCCCATATCTCTGAACTGGGCCACACAAAACACTAAGTCCACTTGGGTCCCCTTTGCCCCCACAGGTCTCGCTGTCTTCCTGCCTCTGTGTCAGCCAGGAGCTCATCTTCTGCGGCTGCACAGATGGGATAGTCCGCATATTCCAAGCCCACAGCCTGCAATACCTCGCCAACCTGCCCAAGCCACACTACCTTGGAGTGGATGTGGCCCAGGGCCTGGAGCCCAGGTACTGCCTGGCATGGGGAGGGAGAGGGGCCTACCTAGAGTCTGTCTGCTGGTATCCATCCATGCTTCCAGATCCATCTACCGACTGGCCAGCCTTGGGCTGGAAGCAGGATACAGGCTGTAAGGAGGCAGCAGGATTTCGTGAAGTCTGCAGTCTAGTGAGGGTGCTGGATGATAAATGAGTGCATAAACAAGATCATTTCAGATAGTCGTAAATGCTTTGGTGAAATAAAGCAGGGACTCAAGAAGGAGAGTGTCTGGGAGTGGGGCTGTTGACTGGGTGGCCAGGGGAGGCCTCTCTGGTGAGAACAAGCCAGCTGTGTGGAGAGCTGGGTCCTGACAGCAAATGCAGAGGCCTTAAGGGGACAGCACACTGGGCTCCGTGTGTCACAGGAACGGCTGGGGGCTGTGTGGCTGGAGCACAGTGTGCTGGGGGGAGGGTGGTAGGAGTCAGGTGTGAGCATTGATGGAAGCTGCTGAGAGGAGCTTGGAGCCTATTCTGAGGTCACTGGGCAGCCACTGGGACCTTAGGCACTGGTGTTACTGGGTCAGGCCTTGAGTAGTACCTCCTCTGGCTGCCATGTTGAGAGCAGATGGAGGGGCTGAGCTGTGGTGTATCTTCCCTTTTGGTGTAAGTCTGTTTTGTGGGGGTTGGGGGGCTACCTAACCAGAGAGTTTGGGGTGCCTGGGGCTGCCTCTTCGTAGGTTGCTGGACACTACCTCCTGGGTGTGCCTTTTCTAAGAGAGCGCATGGAGGGCCTTACTGGATGTTGCAAAGGAAAGAGAAGGTGGGTGAGCAACCCACAGACAGTAGTGTGTTGTAGTGGCCGGGGTGCCCAGCTCTGCCACCTTCTGCTGTGTGCTGTGTGGCCTCGGGCAGGTCACTGTATCAACGAGTGCTTCAGTTTCTTCGTCTGTAAAATATAGTACCTACCTCTCATGGAAACTGTGGGAATTCAGCACAGCTAAAGCTCTCGGCTCGGCACACAGTAAGTGCTCAGTCAACTGTAGCCTTGCTAGGAAGGCCCCAAGCCAGGGGATGGCTCACCAGCCCCCTTACACAGGGAATTTTGATCATGTGTTTGTGAGGCTGAGAGAGAGAGGGCCTGATCTTTGTGCCCATTATCCTATGCTCAGAGAGAGAGGATGGAGCTTGGGCCGAGTGAAAAGAGGGGAGAGAAATGTTAACAGGAGTCGAAAATTCAAACGCTCTTAGGGGCCGGGCAGAAGCTTCCAGTTTACAGTCTCTGTATTAGAAGCAAAGCAAAGAAAGAAGATGGAGGAGTGAGAAGTGGAGTTGGAGTGGGAGAGATGGGTCACCACAAAGATCATAAGGGATGGCATTGCCAGGCAGGAGGCAGCTCAAGCATCACCAGAGGTAGCTGTTACTACTCACAGTGACATTGATGGTCATTGATGACTCACGTGGCCTTGTCAGCTTCCTTTTCCGCAGGAAGGCAGAAGCCATCTACCCGGATACAGTGGCGCTGATCTTCGACCCCATCCACCAGTGGCTGTCCTGTGTGTATAAGGACCACAGCATCTACATCTGGGATGTCAAAGACATCAACAAAGTAGGCAAGGTGTGGTCAGAGCTCTTCCACAGCTCCTACGTCTGGAACGTGGAGGTGAGCCCCTCTCTCCCTCCCCCTCCCCCTGCTTAGCCCCCAGCTGGGGCTCAGCTGAGGAAGCTTCTGCAGAGTTTGGGGAACCCATTCAGCCATACCTGCAAAAGATACTCATGGACCCCTACTATGTGCCAGGTGCTGTTCTTGGTGCTGGGGACACAGCTGGGCAGGAAACTGACACAAGTCCTGATCTCCTGGAGCTCACATCCAGGTGGTAGTGTAAACCTGTAAACATATCAGTATGGAACGTGCCAAGTACAATACTTCTCTGAAGAAAAACGAAGCCGCCTAGGGGAAAGGGGGTTCAAGAGTGCTATTCTAGAAAGGAGAGTGGTCAGGGCAAGCCTCTCTGAAGATGTGACATTCGAGTGGGGGACCTGCAGGAAGTCAGGGGTGAGGAACGCCACCATTGTGGGTACGGCAAGTGCAAAGGTCCTTCAGCAGCAGCGTGTGTATCTCAGGGAGCTTTCTGTCAAGGGCGTTTGCGTAGTTCATGGCTTTTTTTTTTTTCATTGATTGATTGATTGGCTGTGTCGGGTCTCCATGGCTGCGCGCGGGCTTTCTCTAGTTGCGGCAAGTGGGGGCTACTCTTAGTTGCGGTGCGCGGTCTTCTCTTTGCGGTGGCTTCTCTTGTTGCGGAGCACGGGCTCTAGGCGCGCAGGCTTCAGTAGTTGGGGCACACGGGCTCAGCAGTTGTGGCGCATGGGCTTAGTTGCGCCATGGCATGTGGGATCTTCCCAGACTAGGGATAGAACCCATGTCCCCTGCACTGACAGGCGGATTCTTAACCACTGTGCCACCAGGGAAGCCCTTTTTTATTTAAGTGTTGAAGAAGCCTTTATTTTCTGAGAATGAATCTGTGGGGATTTTTCATTTTGAAGCTGTTCGAAGTATAATACTTCTTGCAGATAAGACTTGTAGATAAGATAAGGTAGAGAAAGAATTGTAGTCTGCTTCTTTTTTTCCCTGAAAATTTCTTATTACTAGGAATGTTTGTTCTAGAGAAATTATGTTTTCAGTGGCCCAGTTCAGGATTGTGAGAAATAACTTTATCCTTTTGAATAGGCATTATTCAGCCCTTTGCTTGAATACATCTCCCTTTGTGGATCTGACATTTCTGTTGATAGCACTTTTCTCACTTAACAAGAATGTTTTTTAAATAACTTTTGAAATTTATATATAAATATATTCTCCTTAAAAAAAGGCGAGATATTACAGATCAAGCTAAAGTCTTTTTTGATCACCTCCTCAACCCCCCACTCTTGCTGTCTCTCTCACCCTCGCTCTTGTTATCAGTTTATTATGTGTTTTTTTTCCAATTCATTTTCTTTGCATCTGCTGGTTATTTATATATATATTCTCAACAGAAATATCTGTGGATAGATCTTTTAATCAGTTCTGGAAAGTTCTCGGCCAATATGGATTTAAGAGTTGCCTCTACCCCATTCTCTCTTTTTCTGTTACTCTAATGTGTTGTCTTTCTCTATCCTTCATTTTTTTTTCAATAAAACAGAGATCTAGAAAACCACACGAAAGAAATGTGCAGTTGATTGATTATTGTTAGCAGCTGTTGACACTCGATGCCTAGATCCCTTTATTCATTGGGGGTTGCAATATGGTGATATTCTAATTCTATCATTTCTTTTTATTAGTTGGACTGCTTATGTGAAGAGAAACTTCCCCTCATCTACCATTTGGTCACCCAGTGGTACACTTTCTATAGGAAAGGCAGGATAAATGCTTGATTCTTTCCCTTTAATTACCAGTTTTCAAGATAATGAATTGGTTCCTTGTCCTCTAAAGGTAACTAGTTGTTTTTATTTAATATCATTATAAATTCATATATTTAAATCTATTGCATATATTTTAATTGACTGCAATTATTAACATTATTGGAGCTCAAATTGTCCCATCTTTGGCCAGTGGAAGCCTCTTCAGGTTGGCTCCTGAGTCCTTTGGACATGATGCCTCGCTAATGACAAGGGATGACAAGGTGTTCTAGCCTCATCTTGTGCATTTCTTGCCCCAAACCTGGAAGCAGCCATTTCTTGAAGAAGCCCTGTTTTTTGTTTTGTTTTGTTTCATTTTTTCACTTTGAATTGGTATGTCAAAGTCACAGTCTGGGTGCTGGGGATGCTTATAGCAGTTGGATTGATCCTTCCAGAATCCTAGTTCTCAAAGACATAGGGGGATGATGGAATTAGAGTATCCCCAGTTAATCATTTCTTTGTTCCCACATTATAATATAATAGTCTAAGAATGATAATTCAATTCTGAAAACAGTTAAAACAATTTTTTTTGCAAATTTTCTCCCCATTCTCTTCTAATTTTTAGATTAATTATTCTGTATCTATATGATCTGATCATATAGCCATTATATACTATATTTTCTCCCTTTTGACCCCATTTATTTGAGGGGAGTATAAGTGTACATATATATTATGGTAAAATATACATAACATAAAACTTCCCACTTAAATCATTTTAAATATACAATTCAGTGTTATTTAGGACATTCACAGTGTTGTACAACCATCACTACTGTCTAGTTCTGGAACTTTCTCGTCACCCCAAAAGGAAACTCTGTACCCATTAAGCAATCACTTTCCATTCCTACTCTTCCCAGCCCATAGCAACAGCTAATCTGCTTTCTGTTGCTATGGGTTTGCCTGTTCTGAATGTTTCATATAAATGGAATCACAGAATATGTGGACTTCGTGTCTGATGTCTTTCATTTAACAATGTTTTCAAGGTTCATCTATGTTGTAGCATGTTTCAGTACTTTATTCCTTTTTAAGGTTGAATAATACTATTCCATCATATGGAAAATACATTTTGTTATGCATCTATCAGTTCATGGACATTTGAGTTGCTTCTTTTTGGTTTATTCCCTATTCATAATAGCCAAAATAACCTTGTGGCTATTGTGAATAGTGCTATTGTGTAAAAGCTTTGTTTGAACACCTGTTTTCACTTCTTTCGGGTGTATACCCAGCAGTGGAATTACTGGTCATGTGGTAATTCTATGTTTAAGTTTTTGAAGAACCACCACCGGACTTTTCCATGGCAGCTGCATCATTTTACTTTCCCACCAGCAATGTATGAGAGTTCCAATTTCTCCACATCCTTGCCAGCACTGGTTATTTTTCTGTTTGGTTTTTTAAAAATTATAGCTATCTTAGTATTTGCAAGGTATTGTGGTTTTGACTTGTATTTCCCTAATTAATAATTTTGAGCCTCTTTTCATGTGCTTGTTGGTCATTTGTATATCCTCTTTGGAGAAATGTCTATTCAAGATTTTTGCCTATTTATTATTTTTTAAATTAATTAATTTTTAAAAATTTATTTTTGGCTGCATTGGGTCTTCGCTGCTGTGCACGGGCTTTCTCTAGCTGTGGCGAGCGGGGGCTACTCTTCATTGCGATGTGTGGGCTTCTCTTTGCCGTGGCTTCTCTTGTTGTGGAGCACAGACTCTAGGCGCACGGATTTCAGTAGTTGCAGCACACGAGCTCAGTAGTTGTGGCATGTGGGCCCTAGAGAACACGGGCTTCAGTAGTTGCGGCGCGTGGGCTTAGTAGTTGTGGCTCATGGGCTCTAGAGTGCAGGCTAAGTAGTTGTGGCGCATGGGCTTAGTTGCTCCACGGCATGTAGGATCTTCCCGGACCAGGGATTGAACCCATGTCCCCTGCATTGGCAGACGGATTCCTAACCACTGCGCCACCAGGGAATTCCTGCCTGTTTTTTTTGGTGTTTTTTTAACATCTTTATTGGAGTATAGTTGCTTTACAGTGTTGTTAGTTTCTGCAGTATAACAAAGTGAATCAGCTATATGTATACATATATCCCCATATCCCCTCCCCCTCCCTATTTCTTAATTGGGCTGTTTGTCTTTTTGCTTTTGAGTTGTAAGAGTTCTTTATATATCCTGGATACTAGGCCCTTAACAGGTATATAAGTTGCAAATATTTTCTTCCATTCTTCTTTTTTTTAGAAGTTTTATTTTATTTATTTATTTATTTATTTAATTTATGGCTGTGTTCGGTCTTCTTCACTGTGTGCCAGCTCTCTCCCGTTGCGTCGAGCGGGGGCCACTCTTCGCTGCAGTGCACAGGCCTCTCATCGTGATGGCCTCCCCTGTTGTGGAGCACAGGCTCCAGGCGCACGGGCTTCAGCAGTGGTGGCACACGGGCTCAGCCACTCCACAGCATGTGGAATCCTCCCAGACCAGGGCTCAAACCCGTGTCCCCTGCATTGGCAGGCGGATTCTCAACCACTGCACCACGAGGGAAGCCCTTCTTCCATTCTTTATGTCGTCTTTTCACTTTCTTGATAGTGTCCTTTGATGAACAAAGGTTTTTAATTTTGATGAAGTCCAATTTCTCTATTTTTTGTTTCGTTGCTTGTGTCTTTGGTGTCATATCTAAAAAACCATTGCCAGGCTTCCCTGGTGGCGCAGTGGTTGAGAGTCTGCCTGCCGATGCAGGGGACACGGGTTCGTGCCCCGGTCCGGGAAGATCCCATATGCCGCGGAGTGGCTGGGCCCGTGAGCCATGGCCGCTGAGCCTGCGCGTCTGGAGCCTGTGCTCCGTAACGGGAGAGGCCACAACAGTGAGAGGCCCGCAGGCCACAACAGTGAGAGGCCCGCGTACCACAAGAAAAAAGAAAAAAAACATTGCCAAATTCCTAGTCATGATGATTTACTCCTATGTTTTCTTCTAAGAGTTTTATTATTTTAGCTCTTCCACTTAGGTATTTGATCTCTTTCGAGTTAATTTTTGTATATGGTGAAGTAAGGGCCCAAATTCATTATTTTGCATGTGGATGGATAATCCCAGCACCACTTGTTGAGCAGACTGTTCTTCCCTCCTTGGGTGATCTTGGCACACTTGTTGAAAATCAACTGGCCATAGATGTATGGGTTTAATTTTGGATTCTCAATTTTATTCTACTGATATATGTCTATCTTTATGCCAGTACCACATTGCTTTGATTACTATAGT